TTTTTACACAACATGATTCATCTTCATTAAACAATGAAGCCCTTTGCTGTGTGTTTCCAAACCACCCCTTTTATTTAATAAAAACAAATGTAAGAACAACCCAAAGCTGGCTGGTGGGGGAGGAAGACAGTAGCTATCTCAAAGATATAGCTGTGTTGGTCTGTAGAATCAGTATGTAGAGAGATCTTGTAGCACCTTTGAGACTACACTGAAAGAATGAAGTTGGCAGCATGAGCTTTCGTAGGCTTAAGTCTATTTCCTCAGATGTATTTATCTGAGGAAGTAGACTGAAGTCTATGAAAGCTCATGCTGCCAACTTCTTTCTATCAGTTAGTCTCAAAGGCGCTACAAGCTCTCTCTACATACATTAGCTATCTCTGTTACTACAGATAATCCTGATTTCTTCCTACCTCTCAAAGATTGGCTCAAGACATTTCAAAGAATGTAAGACATTGCCTGAGATCCTACATGAGCGTTAACATACGTGATTGCACTTTGTGACTTTTGTGTTGCATCACAACACTGTACCACCAACTGTGCAACCAAATGCACAATTGGGTGCTTATATAAATGTACAGCAGTGCCACATATGGAACTGTGAATATTTGAAAGGATGTCATGTAGAAGATGGAACCACCGTCACATCTCAAATACGCTGATTTTCTTTCATCTGGTTTCTTCGCTGTCCACCTCTCACATCTGTACATGGTAATGGGGAATACAATGGATTGGATGATTTTAAATTTAGTGCTCAGCTGTATAGCTTTACTCTTTAGGATCTTGTCTAGTTCTTTCATAGCTGCCCTTCCAATTTCTAGTCTTCTTATTTCTTGATTGTAGTCTCCTTTCTGATCAATGTTTGATCCAAGGTATGGGAAATCTTTAAATATTTTGGTTTCCTCATTGTCTAGGCTGAATTTATGTAGGTCTTCTGTTATCATTATTTTTGTTTTATGTTCATTAGTAAGCCTGCCTTTGCACTTTCTTCCTTAGAAACTGCTCCAACGTTGTGATGTTTTCCTCTAGTAGTATGGTGTCATCCACATTAGGAGTTTATCAAACGGGAGTGATCCTGTGCAAAATGGGGTTTTAAATAGAAATAAAATCCGCAAAAGCGGGTTGATTTTCACACGTTGTTGTTAATATATTGTTGACCTGAACGGAAAGTCAACAAAACCCACAAAAGCTAGTTGATTTTCACACGACATCAGGGGTAATGAGCATTAACACAATATTAGCCGAAACAGAAAATAGACGAAAACCGCTCCTTTTTACTTTCAGAAAATCCCAAAAGTAAAAAGGAGCGGGTTTTGTCTACTTTCCGTTCGGGCTAATTTCACATTACCCCCAATGTGTGTGAAAATCAACCCGCTTTTGCAGGTTTTTTCCAGCTTTTAAATCCCATCTCTGCATGGGATTTTTTCACTTTCCCGCAGTGTGATAAACTCCTTAGATTGTTGATGTTTTTTCCTCCTCTCTTTTTCTTTCAACTTTACAAGAGCATCCTGAGTAGTAATTACTTCTGTTTCTACCAAAAACTTATGTTTCTCTAGCCCTGATGCATTCTGCTTAATACTAAATAATTCCCATAGTATTCCCAAGCTCAGGGACTGCTCACAACTGCATTAAATGGTTATAAAGTGCTCTGAAATACAATGCTAAGGATGCTTGCTCAAACTCCCACTAAGTTCAATGGGACATATTCTCCAGCACTCATAAACAAGCAGTTTGTTAGAAGGATATGGGGGGGAGATCTCATTACAAGTGAGATGCTAGTTGGAACTCACCATCCCAGTTACTGATGTATGAATCAAATTTAATTTGCTTACTACATGTTTCCTGAGGTCAGGTTTTTTTGTTCGCTCCATTTTCTACAAAGCACCCTCTATTGTTCTTGTAGATTTGCGTCAGAAAATAACAGGCAAAATAATACACATAATAATGCACATAACAATACACATACAGCATACACATTTTTCTACAAGATGTTCAAATATGAAGCCAATTAATAAGCATCTGTGTATTAAAAAATTGCTTCTTTTGCCTTGTTTTATTTGAATTCTTTGTCACCATGGGCCTTTGAAGACTGCCAGAAATAGTGCAAATTGAGTCCACTTTAAGGGTTAGGGTTAGGGCTAGGGAATCATGGGAACTGTATTTTATTGTGGCACCAGAGCTCTCTGACAGAGAAGGCTCAATTTCTCAGAAAAAACAACAATTCCCATGATTCCCTAGCACTAACCCTTAAAGTGGACTCAATTTGCATTATTTCTGGCAGTTGGCAAAGGCCCCATCTGTCTCTTTCAAAGGTCATGAAGGCTGGCATTCTGTTGGTGACTGACACATGCGTTAAGTTCCCCTATGGAAGTTCCTGGGCATTTCCATCCAGTGTCTGAAGTCTGTATTCAGGTGAAAGGTATGGAAGCCGAGGTGTGCATTGCACATGTAATGCCATTGTGCATTGGACACACTGATCACATGTATATGCAGATGCGCATTATGTATTGCAATTGTACATTTCAAATTAGTTTGCACATTCAGTTTATCAGTATTGCAATTCACAAATGCACAACTGTCATGTAATTTGCTGAGAGTAAACTTACATTAGAAACCAATATGGTTTTCATGTTTGAGTGTTGGACTACAACTTTGGAGACTATGGTTTGAATCCCTGCATGGCCATGGAAACCCACTGGGTGACCTTGGGCGAGTTGCACACTCTCAGCCCCAGAAAACACCATGACTGCCTTAGTGTCGCCATGAGTTGGAAACAACTTGAGGGTACACAACAACAACAACAAATTACATTCCATCTACTTGTAGGATCATGGCCACACTGTTTTTCACAGGCATATACATAAATATCTCCATAAGTTTCAAGAGCACTAGATACTTCCTGCTGGGCACAGATGAAACAAGGCAGTCCAGAATCTCAAGGATGCTTCTTCTTTGGATTCAGGAAAATTGGGCAACAGTTGTTTCCATGGCAATTTCCCTGGCACACCTAATCTGAACAAGGTGATATGACACAACCACAAGGATTCTGCAACATCTAGAGATCTCTGCTCTCACATGAGATTAAAATGACAGGTGCTCCCTACTCTCTATTTTCACAATTTGCACAAAATAAAATTGAGATAAAATGCCTATTTTCCCAAAAAAACATGTATCTTTTCCCATCTAGAGCATAAGTATACACAGAATGAAGGCAAGGCTATAAATCTGTTTTGGTCAGACCTCACCTGGAATACTGCGTCCAGTTCTGGGCACAATTCAGAAAGGATGTGGAGAAGCTGGAGCATGTCCAAAGGAGGGTGACTAAAATGGAGAAAGGTCTTGAAACCATGTCTTATGAGGAGAGATCTAGGGCACTGGATAAGTTTAGTCTGGAGAAGAGGAGGTTAAGAGGTGATATGATAGCCCTGTTTAAATATTTGAAGTTTTTCATGTTGAGGATAGAACAAACTTGTTTTCTGCTGCTCCAGGGAATAGGACTCGGAGCAATGGATTCAATCTACAGGAAAAGAAATTCCACCTCAACATAAGGAAGACGTAATAGCTAATGGTAATACCTGTTTGATAGTGGAACACACTGCCTTGGAGAGTGGTGGAGTCTCCTCCTTTGGAGGTTTTTAAACAGAGGATATATGGCCATCTGTCAGGTGTGCTTTGATTATGTCTTCCTGCATGAAGGGAGTTGGACTGGATAGACCCTGTGTTCTATGATTCTATGAAAATGCCAGAAGAGTATTTGCATGAATCCAACAACTTGCATTCTTGCTTCCTGCTCTCACGCCCAAAATGGTCACTTGGAATCGTCATGCTGGTAGCTAAGACTTCAGCTTAAGAAACACAGCTTTAAAGAATACAAGGGAAGGTGGCATGTCTGTAATAACACCCATCCTCTGAAGCACAGGAAATCCAGTGTTCTCTCTGTGAAACAGAGACACCCCCTCCTGCCACCATGCACACACAATCCTCAGCGTGCTGTTCCCTCGCTGTGTTAGTATTAATTACCATGGCAATGCTATCTGTGTCAGTGGGGCGATTTAAAATGCATGTTCCAAAGCAACTAATCTCAAGAGATGTTCTGCCAACTAAGGCCATGTGGCTCGGATGTTATTCTTTATAGCAGATAGTGCCACAGGGAACAGTGGATTGATGCCACACTGAAATCAAAGGTCACTGCTGGGTACTGGATGATATTCATATCTCTAAATGAATGGTGTGTGTGTGTGTGTGATGCTTCAGTACAAGGAGATGGAAATATAAATTGCATTATTATACAGGCTAACAAATGCTCCATTATCATAGGATTGCAATCACAGCTTTCTTATCTTGGAGGTAGGTGGATAGTTAAGGAACAGACAGACCAGTGGTTCAGGAGATGCGCAAGCCACGTTTTAGGTAGTCACACCTACAAAAAGGAATAGGTGGTTTAACCGAGGGATTAGACCAGAGTCAGTAGTGGCAGCTGGTGGCTTCCACAACGGGGCAGTGAACCTGTTCAAACAAAGTCCAGATTTTAGCTATTTAAGGTGTTGAATATTATCACCTCAAGTAGGTTTGGTAACACAGATACCTTCCTTAAAGTTTGGTCTGAAACCTGGGGCAGATTTGGTGACTTCACAGACACAGAAGCCATCAGCTGCTGCTGTGAAAAGCCAGCTTGAACGACTTGGCTCTTGGGAATGTTGTGATCTCTCTTGGGCTGAAAGCAGTCCCAAACCCTCTGGTCTGTAGAAGTGGTGAGACAGCAAGTGGCATGTTCTTAAGGTGGACCCAGTGGTGCATCAAGTTACCACAGCTGGATAGTGGTAGTCTCTGAAAGACTGGTCTTATCTTTGTTGTCGTGTGCCTTCAAGTAGTTTCTAACATATGAAGAACCTAAGGCGACCCTATAATGGGTTTTTCTTGGCATGTTTCTTCAGAGGGGGTTTGCCATTGTCATCCCCTAAGGCCAAGAGTATGATTTGCCCAAAGTCACCCAGTGGGTTTCATGACCAAACTGAGAATTGAACCCTGGTCTCCAGAGTTGTAGTTCAACACTCAAACCACTAAGCCATGTGGGCTCTCTGGCCTTGTCTACAGAGGCCAAATAAAACCTGTCCTCATAGCAAACTGTCTTCACAACACAGGGCCAAATCTCCTGATTTGACTGCAGACTCTCACACCGTAAGGCTAGTTCCGCACTGTTAACATATCAGACCAGCCTTAACTCACCTTTTGCTCAATTTTTCAGGAAAACATGAAGCACTTGTAGTGACAACCCATTGTCGCTTGGTGCCACCACCGCTGGTGTAAATCACTGCCAGCCATATGATTCAGGCCCATCCAATCCAACCCCCTGCCATACAGGAATACACAAAGTACCCGTGACAGATGGCCATCCAGCCTCTGTTTAAAAACCTCCAAATAAAGAGACTCCATCACACTCCGAGGCAGCGTCTTCCACTGTCAGAAAGTTCTTACCGTCAGGAAGTTCTTCCTAACATTGAATTGGAGTCCCTTTTCCTGTAGCTTAAATCCATTGCAGTGCCATAGTCTCTGGAGCAGCAGAAAACAAGATTACTTCATCCTCAATATGACATCCCTTCAAATATTTAAACATGGCTGCTACCATGTCCCCTCTTAAACTTCTCTTCTTCAGGCTAAACATACCCAGCTCCTTACGCTGCTCCTCATAGGGCATCATTTTCTTATGGCTGATGCTGGGTGCCTTGTTTCTGGCCTTAGAGGCAACAACTTGCAGTGGTGGTGCCTGGTGACAGCCAGGACAATTGTGTAGACATCCATCCAGCATTGCTACAGAGTGTGTAGGTAATGGGGCACTGGGGCTTGAATACTCTGGGAACAAACCAAAATATGCTGGCCAGTGTAGACAATCCACCAATGTCCTTATATAAGTTTAGCCAAGTTCTAAGCTCTTCAGGAAAGAACCTTCTCTTGGTCCCATCACCATGACAGATACATCTTGTGGGGCCTCAGGAAAGAGCCTGTGTGGATGCTCCCAGGCTATGGACCTCTAAATAACATAAAGGCACCAAATCCCATTTGATTTTGGAAGTTAAGCAGGGTAAGCTTGGATGGGAGACCACCAACGAATATCAGGTGCTGTAGATATATTTCAGCCTCAAAAGACTACAAATCCCAAGATTCTGTAGGGTGGAGTCATGACAGTTAAAGTGGTGTCAAACTGCACTATTTCTACAGTGTAGATCAGGGGTAGGCAACCTTTTTTTGCTCTGGGCCGGTCCCCCAAAGTTCCTTTTTCCACTGGGCTGGGTGGCGGGTGGCGGCACGCATGCGAGTGCGCGCCCGCTGCTGCCACGCGCAACCACCCCGCAAACATGCGCAAACGCGTTGCGGCCACCATTTTGAAAATCAAAATGGCAGCCACGACATGTGCGGCCGGCTGGAGGGGAAAATGCACGGCAGCGGCAGCAGCAGGGGTCTGCCTGGGCTGGTAAGTCTGGCGACCTGGGCCAGAACCGGCCCAGGGGCCGTAGGTTGCCGGTCCCTGGTGTTGATGCACCCACTAACCCATTTCTAGCTTCTACACCTATCATATTTTCAAGCCTCTTTGCCTCTTCTTAGAGACATATTTGAAATGTCTGTATCCTGCCTCTTCATAGTTACTGAGATGACATACAACAAAAATTAAAGCAGGAGTACCAACACTAAAACACTATGCTGCATCAACACTGAAGAAATAATGCAGTCTGACACTTCTTCAACTGCCATGGCTCAATGCTATGGAATCCTGGGGTTTGTATTTTGTTGTGGCACCAGCAGTCTCTGACAGAAAAAGCTGAAATTCTGTTCACATAGTGCTCAGTCAGCTGCCTAGGAATAGCAATAGCATTTACATTTCTATACTGCTTCAGCACTCTCTAAGCAGTTTACAATCTATAAGCCAATTTTCCCCCAGCCAGCTGGGTACTCATTTTACCAACCTACAAAAAGATGGAAGGCTTTGAGTTAACCTTTGAGCCCTTGGATTGAATTCACAACCTTGTAGCTGCAGTACCATTTCATGACTGCGCCACATGGAGGGATGGGAAATATATGGCCCAAATATTCTTGGACTGCAGCCCCCAGCATTCTTCACCATTAGATATGCTGGCTAATGTTGCTGGAAGTTGCAGTTGGATAACATCTGGAGTGCCAGCAGCCCAGCCCAGCCCAGCCCAGCCCAAGGACATATGGGAGCGCAACTGAACCCTCAAGCTTATGTGCCTCAGCAATTGATAAACAAAGGCATAATATCCATGATCCTGGAGGTGATACATGGTCATCCTGTCTAGTAGCAAAGGTGACCGAAACCACCATGAATTTATCCAAGGCTTAAAACCCATTCAAGTTGGCAGCCACAACTACAGGAAAACAGATTCCACCTAAACCTTAGGAAGAACTTCCTGATGCTAAGAACTTCTCAACAGTGGAATATGCTGCCCTGGAGAATGGTGGAGTCTTCTTCTTTGGAGGTTTCTAAACAGAATCTGGATCACCACCTGCTGGGAGTTCTTTGACTGTGTCTTCCTGCATGGCAGAGAGTTGGACTGGATGGCCCTTGAGGTCTCTTCCAACTTTATGATTTTCCCTGCAACTTGTGGCAGTGAATTCACATCTTACTATGTGTTAAGTGAAGATGGTTTTGAATGTCACACCATTCAGTTTCTAGTGATGAAGGATAAAAAACCAACAACTTTATTTATTAGTACTATACAGTGGTCCCAATACAGTTCTCTGAGATTCCATTGCTTACATCCTTCCACTGAAAAAAAAAATTAACATTTATACCTGCGCTGTTTGCTGTCCTTTTCAGTCCATAAGAGGACCTGTTTTCGTAACATAGAAGACAGCAGGTATGTGCTCCCCTATCAACATGATCAGGCAACCAAAATTTGCGTTCTCAGCCCTAGCAGCTTCTATTTTGTCCAGTGTTACTTTCATATTAATAGCTGTAATAACTGAATGTACATATCTGCCAGAGCCATAGGTGCAAAATCATGAAAAACTAGACACCTGAAACTTTGCACCCTTAAGGAGGGATGCAGGAAGTGCACATGGAAATTAGATGCTTTAAAAAACATATTAATTTTAATTCATTTAAATAGGCCAAGTGTTTGGAAGTACCACTTTCAGTCAATAGGTGGAAGACTTCTCAAACCACCATATAGTTATGCAGTCAATAAATTTAAAGTCTGGGGAGAGTAGTCTGAGGGACAGAATTATGGGATTCCCACCCACTCACCCTGTGGGGCTGTGCCTCTCACAGGAATGGAATGGGAAGACTTCTTTCTGGAGAGGTTCATCATACAATTGGGCATGCTTAAGAGTCCCTGTGGCCAAGCTTCACTCAGATGAGGCAGGAACAATGTGTCCAGCTCTGACAGCTGTATATCTTTAAACATATTGGTGTATCAAACTAATGCCTATTCTAACCTGTGTGAAGCTAGGTGCCTCCACTAATCATAAAATAAGAGCTATCAAAACTCAATGCCAATGGAATATGCATATGTGTGGAGATCATGCCAGTGGGCCATTTATGATGGCAAAAACTTTACTCTGTCCGAATTCTTCCCCCAACAGGTTCAGGTTCCTAATCTCCTTTCTTGTATCTGGCTGCATCTGCACTGTAGAAATATTGCAGTTTGACACTGCTTTAGCTGCTATGGCTCAATGCAATGGAATTCTGAGATCTTTATTTCTGTGAGCTATTTAGCTTTCTCTGTCAGAGAGCTCCAGTGCCACAACAAATTACAAATCCCAAAATTCCATAGCATTGAGACATGGCAGTTTAAGTGGCGTCAAACTGCATTATTTCTTCAGTGTAGTTGCAGGCTTTGTGAATCTCTCTTGAAGAAGGCTTCTCACCTACATCAATCAGGTATCTTATATAAGATTTGGTTATTTCCCCCACCCCCTATTTTTAATTTTATTTCCCATGCCCTCAATGCAATTCTGTGCTTGTTTTATTTCTCTAGCAACTTTGGTGCAATGTTGGTCTGGAACCACATGAAGCTGAAGATGACACCCATTGTTTTAGGGAATGTTTCATCAAATGCAAAATTCAAGGAGTCTTGAAGAGGTATTTCTACAACTTCAATCAGCTCGCCTTCTTCCGGCTGACCACCACCTTCACTGGCTTTCATCTCATCAGTTACTTCAGCATAAAATAATGTCTGCTTTGATCCCGTCACACCAACTCCAGATCTTTAGGCATAGAAAGAAAATAGAAAGAAAATGTAAATAGATAGAATTTAGATGTAGGTTTCCTTATTACATGTCCTAATCAAACTAATAAAAGACAGCAGATAGCATAAATAAAATTAACACAAAGCCAAATAATACAAAATAAGTCTACATTTCTGGATTTCTAGAATAGTTCTACACAAACCTGCATATATGATATTAAATTAATTATGACCTAAAGTCTTGAATATCCCTGACAAGGCATAGCATTCTTTCAAGTAAACTCCTAGAACACCAGCTGCTGTAGTTCAGAGTGGGAACCATGTTGCTGGACTGTAATTCAAAGCCTTCCTCACTACTGGATGCACTGACTAGGTGTGCTGAGAGTTGCAGTCCAACACTATCTGAAGGGCCACATGATTTTCACCTGAAATGTGCAATCAGATGACTATCTTGTCCACAAACCAAATTGACTGCAGTCTCAGGAACAGACTTCCTCATGTATCAACTGAGGCAGATATTTTATGGAATGCCTTAACAACTAAATACAAGCAAAGGTGTCATAGCCCGGAAATAGATATTCATTCATCCTTAGGAGTACTGCAGTGATGTATTTAAGTCCAACACTATCTGAAGGGCCACATGATTTTCACCCAAAAATCTTATTACTACTCTTGACCATCTTATTACCAATCTTGACTGTTTTAAAAAAGCAGTAAAGACGGATCTCTTCCGGCAGGCCTTCCCGGAATAATTTCCCAGCTCCCCCTCCAAGATGGTCTGGCTGTGTCATCCCACTCTCCTAGCTGCCACTGTCCGTTGTTAATTTGTTTGATGATTTTATTATTTGATGTTTTGTTACTCTGTTGTTTTA